ATTCAAATTGAGGCCTCTTACAAGACAACCACGATTGGCCTTGATACTTATCTTAGCGACAAGCAAGACAATCTACTGCAAATAGCGATTGACCATGACAAGGCAAAGAAATTATTTTCCATTCACCATGAAGCGACAAGGTTCAAAAGAGGTCTCAATCTACAAGAGATACCGAAAACAGCGAATGAACCAACCACTATCTATGCCCGGAGAACCAAAATAAAAGCAAAACATTATTCTGAAGAACAGCTAAAGAATTCCTGGGAAGAAAAACCACTTCATGGAAAGTATCCAAAACGCCTTAATGATAATGATGTTGATCRCCTTCAGACAAACAAATGGCTCAAAACCTTTGGATTAAAATCCCAAACTGAAGGCTTTATAATTACTGCCCAAGATCAGTGCATTGCAACAAACTATATCCATCGACATAACAAAGCAGCCAAATATATCCATTGGAAAGTATGTAAATACTTCAATATAAATGTTAATGAGCGATACTATAAACACGAACCAACAACTGTGACTGAGAACGATCAAGTTACAATACTATGGGATATGGGGATACATACTGACAGAGAAATAACAGAAGTTAAAATCGACAGCAAGAAGGAACAATAACAAATGGTTCGACAATAATGAGAGGAAATTTTACGAACACTGCAAGAAAAGCTGACCCAGACAATGCAAAACCAGTCTTCATAAACCCTAACAAAATGTCTACCAACTCCACAAGAAGCGAACTCACAACAGAAGACTTTGAGAAATTCTGGAAACCTATCTGGGAAAAAGAGAACGACACTAACTTAGACTCAGCATGGATAGATGACGTGAAGAAAGCTATGAAAATAACCAGACCAACCACAACAACGGACTCGATCAATATTGAAGAGAAGGATATTCAAGCAAGTTTGAAGAACAAACGAAACTGGAGCTCACCAGGCAGAGACAGAATTACGAACTTCTGGATCAAAAAACTAACATCACCCACCAAGGAATAGCTCAGGCAGTCAACCAGATAATTAACTCTGAACAGCCACTCCCACAATGGCTASTAGAATGTACATGCATATTAATACCTAAGACACAGAACATTCAAGCCAATGAYCATAGACCAATCACGCTACTGAATACCATGTACAAAGCCATAACCTCAGTTATAGACACCAAGCTTAAAGATCATCAACAACAACATCAATACATGCAGATAGACCAAAGAGGCAGTACAGCTTATTGACAAAGCAGCACTGCACGAAGCACACAACAGAAAGAAAAATCTATCATGCACCTGGATAGATGTCAAAAAAGCGTTTGATTCAATAAACCATAAATGGCTCGACTTGTGTCTAGAAATGCACAACATTCCCCACAAGATCCGCCGTTTCATCATAAGTACCATGAAGAGCTGGTCAATCACGCTCGAAATCAGAACATCAANGACATTTTTAAAATTGTGTAATTTGGTAACTTAGCAAAAGTATCTTACTGTAGAGTTGTTTTATTGAATTTAATAGTTTTACAAGTAACTCTCTAAAGTGCTAAAACTTGACTCTCTCACAACACACTAACAACGAACCATCTTCGCCATATATTTTGAACCCCTAGTTGTGACTGTTCTATTCTTACATTACGTTTCAAACATGCATCCATGTCCATGATCATGAATACTTGTATATTCTCCAAGAATTATATTTGTACTTTTAGCTACAACACACTCTCTTACACTCTATTATATATAAAATCAATCATGCATCAATAATGATTCAAACAAACTTAATCCTCAAAATCAATATGAATATGTAGACTGAGACATCACTTATTAAGGGTGCTGGGACCTATTTCTGGAGCCTGTTGCTAAGCAAGCAATTTCTTGAGTTTGATGACGTCACCACGTGATGTTGTCAAATGACATCATCMAAACAGAAAATTTCTATAATTTTTGCCATTTCAAAATATTTTAATTCAATTCTTGCATAGTACTCTACAGCTTTACTCTAAAAGGTGCTTAAAGTAACGGATGCATTTTTTATTTCCTTSATRAATAAATTTCTTAGCGATTTTTTCTGTCTCCGTAAAGACCATTTCGGTCATAACTTTGCAATTTTCCACTTTTTTAGGAAACCCATCCGTTACTTTGTGGAGCATAATACATAAAACATTTCAGGATAAAAATGATTATTTTGCCTGCAAACCTCTAAAAAAMGATTATAGAATTTAAAACGAAAAACAGCTGTTTGCGCACACACTGGAGATTTCATTTCTCCGTTTGACCGTTTATAGTTCGGCTGTGTCATAATGAACAGCTTCAATTTGCTTACATTTGGTTTTAAGACTGAGGTTTGGACTTTCATGATTTGAGAAATTTGTAGCATATTACATGTATGCTAATTTGATATTATATTGGAAAACTGTTTTTCCCGCTTTCTTGATTAAAATGCAAAATTTTAAGAGCTCAAAGAAATGGGGGCATTACCAAAGGGACATTTTTGCCAAAAATCATAAAATCAAAGTCAATGAGCTCTGGCACTCACTTTTACAGACAGCACAGCAACCAGGCTGCTTGGTAACGAAATAGGTCGCAGCACCCTTAAACTAACATCAAATAAATGTGACATGACTGCATTGAGGTGGATCAAAACATATTAATTAATATATTTCAGATGGATGTCTCAGCAGTGWCATTTGCAACTACTGAGTGCCTTGAAGAATTGGGACTGAAGGCAAAGGGTGATTTGTTTTACCTAAAGGCTTTTTGCCAGCGTCAAACTTCAAGTCAAACTTTTACTCCAAGTGCCAACACAACTGAAACTGACTATAACAGGAGAAAACGAGAGCTGTTGGAGCAGTTAAATGTACAAGGTGAAAAACAGAAGAAAAAAGTCAAAAGGGATAATAAGTTATCTTCTGGAAGTGCTACTAAGACTGCTCCCGAAAGACAAAAAACACGCAAGATAACTCTTGGGTGGCTTCACTACTGTCCAAAGAATCAGAAATTTATGGGAGTTAGACTGGCAAATGGTGGGGGACCAAGAAAACTTGATGTACCTTGTAATTCAACAAAGAAAATGATTATAGAGGAAGNCAGAAGGCTACACCTTCTCACACTGCACGAAAGAGAAACATAAGGGCGCTGCCCTGTGACAGTCCTAAAAAGTGGGATGGCGAGATCATTTCTGTTGCGTGTTCGTCTCGAATGAACGGCAGTTCTCTGTTGTAAATTAGAGCTAAGATAGTTCGGGGCAACATTGTTTACGCACTTATAAGTCATTACAGCGTCTCTGAGATATATTTGCTGCTTGACGGAGAGCCAGTTTAACTGGTGAAGTAATGGTGTTACATGATCAAATTTAGCGGCTTCTGTAATTATTCTAGAAGCAAAGTTCTGAATTAATTGTAATTTTTTTAATATTACAGGACGACGTATTAGACCAAACCGAGAAGCAGTAAAACATCTTACTAAATACAAGAGACTTGATCATTTAAGATAGTGATTTTTTATCAAAGCTGTGTTTGACCCTACTGATCTGAACTAACTTAGCTAAACAGGAGGAGAYCAGCTGTGAGATATGGGCGTTGTACGTAAGATTGGAATCCAATATCACGCCCAAGTCCTTRGCGGACGTCACAGGGGATAAAGTTTTGCCAAGAAAATTCAGAGTTGGTGTGACTGATTGTTTACTCATGAGTTGTCTTGTTCCCAAAAGCATAAACTTAGTCTTGTCTGGGTTAATTAGTAGATGGTTTTGGCAACATCATTGACATTCAGCGACACTGAATAGGTCTTCTTGTAGTTTTCTTATTGCATTGTTAGTGTCGCCTAAAGGGAACGACAATAATAATTTGGAGTCGTCCACGTAGGATTCCAAACAGCATTCCCGTGGTGCGCCTGGTAGATCGTTCAARTATATGCAGAAGAGCAGAGGTGACAAAATTGCCCCTTGGGGAACCCCATGAGTAATCGGTAGTATATCAGACACTGTAGAACCAATACGGACAGCTTGCGTGCGGCCGGTCAAATAACTTCTGAACCAATGGACTGTAGCAGGCGATGCACCTACAGCGGACAGCGAGAATTAAACTCTTGTAGTCTTCCAGTATCGGGACTCACGATGAGTTTGGGTTAGGGTTCGGCTACCCTGCGAGCAGAGGAATTTTCCACCCCCTTCTACGAAGAAAAGGAAAAATACCTCTGCCACAGGACGGTTAATTTCGTGTTGAGCATGCGCATGAAAAAAATGATATGATTGGCTGTTATCTATGACATTGATTGACGCCCTGTCAATATCCCGCAGTGTCGACGTACGCNAAATCCCAAATGTAATAAGAACTATGATACCACAACGCATCGCAGACCAGTACGAACAATATTGTAAAGAAACTAACTTCAAGCCATTCAGCAAGTCAACAATGTTAAGAATACTGTCATCATGTTCTGCAAGCACACGCACATCACTACAACGATTGGACTATTTTGCCGCAGATGGTGCTAAAGGTTTTGATGACCTAGCATCTATTGTCGATAAGCTTGTTGACATTTCTATTTGTGATAGAGAAGAAGGGCAAAGAATCAAAAATGATCTTAAGGGAGGAAAGCTCTACATCAAAGACGACTATAAGGTGCGTTATTATAATCATATGGGCTATAGATGTTTCAATATATTGGAACTATTTAGCTAAGTCTTTATTTTATTCACCAGGTACATGCCTCAGACGCCTCAACCATACCAGATCACTGTATTCCTTTTTCACTTAGTGATAAGACGGATGAGTRTTTCCAGAAAGTTTGCGACCACAGACATGATCATARTTGTGAAAACTGTGATAGYCTSAGGAAAGCAATCAATGAWGTAGAAACTGCAATTAATGCGGCTAACCTTCCAATCGAAGATCACGACGATGTTCTTTTTGCATATAAAGAAGCTTCTCAGGCGATCCTTGCATGGAAAGCACACCAAGTTCGCTCATTGCASCAAGATAAATCCC